AGATTTTGGAAAAGATTGGGGATATGGCTTACCGACTTGCCTTATCGCCTAACCTGTCCCAAGTACACAATGTTTTCCACGTGTCGATGTTAAGAAAGTATGAACCAGATCCGACTCACGTTCTAAGATATGAGGAGATAGACGTGGACGACAAGGTGTCGTACGTGGAAAGACCAGTCAGGATCGAAGATCGAAAAGACCGTGTACTAAGGAATAAGACGATCCCAATGGTCAAAGTTGTATGGGAGCACCACGGAAGGGAATGTGCCACCTGGGAAAGTGAAGAGGCCATGCGACGTCAACACCCCCACTTGTTTGAGGAGTAAGTGTAGACTACAAATTTCGAGGACGAAATTTTTGTAAGGGGAGAAGAGTTGTAACAGCCTGAATTTCGATGTAATTCCGGGATCAATAAAATTGACAATATTTCGCATTTCATTTTAGTAAGTCTCGCCCAGAGCTGATCACTCTCGGGATACTAACCGATAGGGTATGGCTAATTAAAAAGCGGTATGTGGACCAAGTACCCGATCGCGAAGCGGACACCAATCACGAGAAATGATGAGAGAATACTATGAACCAATGTGGATCGATCTTAGGAAAGGTAACAGACTTGGTTTGGCCAAGGCCAACGATGTACAATCGGATCGCAGGTGATTCTGCACGACCGAGAGTACACGTGGTCAACCAGTCCTGAACTTAAATCGGACGATCGTGACCTCTGGAACTAGTGATAATTTCTCATTCTCTCAATGATCAGGACCGTCATGACTCGGATAACCCTAAGTCGATACGCGTAACCTCTAGACAGCCGCCCGTTAGTGAGAGACCCTGAAATTGGAAATCGAGCGAGTTTTGATCACGAAATTGGGCCCGGATTTCGATGTCGAATTTCGATGGCTTAAGAGACTATTCTTGGAAATCTGACGTCATATTATGCTGGCCACGCATATTTTGAGTTAATACAGTTGAAAATTGGAATTTTGGTCCGGGGGTGAAAAATTACGATTTTGCCCCTCGGGACGCCAGCGTTGCTTTTCGAGGCCAAATGAGGTTATTTTTCGAGGCCGACGCCATTTTTGGGTGGCCACGCATACCAGGAGTCATTATGGCCAAAAATTGGAATTTCGACAAAAATTGGAAAAATAATATTATTTTATTCCCGGAACTTCGCAGTCAATTTTCAAGGGCTTAAGAGGCTATTTTCGCGATTCCGACGCCATATTATGTTGGCCACGGACATCTGGGGTTGATACGTGCGAAAATTGGAATTTCGCCCCGGGACCGGAAAAATGACCATTTTGCCCCTGGGCTATGTTCGGGTCCGAATTTTTTTGGGAAATTATTTGGGATATTTAAGAGTGCTTATCAGCTGCATTATTGGGGCTAAAGACCTTTTTACCCCTCAATTATTTAGATAGGATCAACCGAGACCGTTGGATTAGGGGTATTTTGGTCAAAACCGCCGGATCGGCGACACGTGTCGCCCCTAGCCCCCTAATTTTGACCAGCTTGGACCGGCCACTCTCTCTCCTCACCCTCACTCTCGGCCACATCTCTCTCTCTCCTCCCGATCTCTCTCTTTCTCTCATTTTCTCTCTCGGCCGAACTTCACCGGAGCACACCGCCGGCCACTAGAGCCTGCCGCACGGCCAGTGCCCGCCGTGGACCACCTCGGTCCCCGGCCTCGGCCTCGCCTCTGTCGACCCCTTTCTCTCTCCCTTTCTCTCTCTTTTCTCTCTTTTCCTCTCCCGATCATCACCGCCGCCGTGCCGGAGCTCGTACGGCCGAGCCGCTGCCACGGCGACCTCCAGCCCATCCGTACGTCGCCGTACGTAGCCGGCCGTACAGTGTCCCCCCGTACGGTCCGTACGGTGTCCGTACGGCCGACCGTACGCCGTCGCCGGGAATTCCGCCGCCGGTTTCACTGTTCACCAGTGATCGGCCGCCGTTCCCCGTCGTCGTGACCTTGGATTAAGTGAGTAAAATTCCTAAACCCGGATTAGGACTGATAGTGCGTTTTTCTAGACTGGTTTAGGTATTATCGGTGCATTTTGGACTGGCTTAGGTAGTATCAGTGTGTATTCTAGACTGGGTTGAGGACTGATTGGTAGAAATTATTATCGGGAAAATTTAGTGGATTAATGAAAATTATATGGGGAGATTAATTGGATTAAATGACCAATTTAGGAGCTCATTGGAAAATTACCAGGTATATCCGGGTTGACTGGTTGTACATAATTTGTGCTTAATTGGGATTGATTTCGTACTACCATGTCGCATGTCGTGTGGCTGAATTATGTGGAGTGCGATTAGCCAATGATTGGTTTGAAATTAATTATTGAATTGTGAATCGCACGTTGGGCCACACGGTATTAATTGGGCCAATTGAGCACGTGTTGTGATATTGAGTGATTGAATTTCATTGGTGCTCATGGTGCATTGCATCGCATAACATGGACACGCATTATGTATGCCTAGAGTGAGGCATGTGGTGGAATTGTGCGAAAATGCGTGCCTGCCATGAGTGTGTGATCGCCTAAAATACCCCAAAGCGTCATACGCTGGGTTCAGATAATAATGAGTTGTGTGATCACCTAAAGACCTTTGGGTCATGACCTTCGGGTCGATACCGTCCTCATGCACTTTGAAGCAGGACGATGCCCGGTACGTCCGGAAGACGACCATCCTCATGCACTTTGAAGCAGGCTAGAGACACTGGGCCAGATCGGTTGCTGCGCCTCATGCACTTTGAAGCAGGCTAGACGCACCGGGCCGAAGATGTTGTTGACTCGAGTCGTCGTAATAAATAATAAATTGGGCGATTGCCAATGTGGGCCAGTGGGCCGGGAAATGCACGTGACCTGTCGACGACATTTGCATGCATGAACATGCATGGACTGGCATGCGAGTGTGTGAGACTCGGTGCATGAGCATGTGATTGGCGTACGTGTGATAATGTGTGCCACGTATGTGCCGTGACTATTATATGTTGATCTGTCTAACCTGCAGGGTCAGAGAATGGTTTGATTATTGTTATATTGTGATTCAAATATTTATTTCCGGTCAGGAGATTGCATGCTAGCCTAGCCTAGGTTTAGGGGTTATACTCGCTGAGATTCGTCTCACGGTTATTATAACCCAACTTTTCAGACCCCCAGCCGTAAGGATGCCGAACCCGCCGCTTTTTGGAATACCTGTACAGATACACCAGTATACCAGTACCTACCCCGCAGGAAATGGGGAATCATACGTAAGATACCGGTCCGTGGTGTTTGTAAACGTGGGAGAGTATTTTCATCAGACTCAGGAATATGTAGCTTGGTGCTTGAGAGATGCCGACGGAAACCTAGGGCAACCCCTGAGGACTTTTGATGCGCCAATCGGTCAAAATGGATTGATGGAACCCATATATGCGGATGGCGAGGTGATCAATCCTCAGGATGTTCACGATGTAGATGGCGTTGATGAGCCTATGGATGAGGAGCCACAAAAGCCACAAGTGATAGCTGAAGATCAGGACCAAGATGCCGAAGAGGAGCCGGAACCCGAGCCGATGGATCAAGACTCAAGCGAAGACGGAGAAGTCGCTGAGGTAGGATCTGACGAAGAGCTGGGAGTAGACGACGAGTTAGGTCTCTACCTAGATCCAGAGTTGGAGCAGGACTCTGAAGATGAGCGAGCCCAAGCCGAAGATATGGATTCTGAACCGTCCGAGTCTTCAGAGAATCCTTCAGAGGAGCCGTCGGACGAAACTACTGGATCTTCCGACCCTGAGTGGGAACCCTAGGTTTGTTCTGAGCCATAGCTAGTAGTGAGGGCTGGTAACTTTTTGACTGTAGCCCTCTCTTTGAGTTAGTCTGACCTCCCTAGCCACTTCCCTTTTTGACCCCGTGACATGCAGATCGTATAGGTGGGGACTTATATCTTTTCATGGTTGTGTATAGATGTTTGTAAAGAAGTTTTCTATAGCAATGTAAAGTGCAAGTATGTTTCCTCGTTGGTTGCTTGTTTGGTTATCCTTGTCTCATATTTTACTGTCAGGGTTTATTATTTATTCTTCCGCTTGTGCTTTACTCTCTGTTGGGGCGTTGGGTCGGCGACGCTTCCTGGGAGCGTTGCACCATAATCGACCAAGGTAGGGATGTTACCGCTTCGTGGGGTACGGGGCGTGACACGTAATAGCTGATTTTCTTCCATGTGTCTCTTTATTCCTTGCTATTTCCCAAGTTTCATTCTTTAACTTTCTTGATCTTCACGCTCACGGTCATGTCTTTACCTTTTGACACGTGGAAATGAATTTCTTTATCACGTGTCACCATGATTTCAGACTTATCGACATCGCGTGCAAAGCTCTTGATCATGGATTTGTCGACGTCACGTGCAAAGCTCGTGATCTTGGACTTGTCGACGTCACGTGCAGAACTCGTGATCTTGGACTTATCGACGTCACATACAGAACTCGTGATCTTGGACTTGTCGATACTTTTATGATGTGTCTTGTTGATAACTACCTCCCAATACCTCTAGGTTTGACTCACAGCTTTTCTCAAGATTCATGCTATGTGGGCCGTACTTTATGTCCTTTGTGATTTGTATCCGGTCCACTCCCACCAGGGGTAATTTTGAGTGTCAACAACCTTAATTTGTCTAGGCGGCATTGCATTGTGCTGGTTAGATTTTTTGTTTTTGAGAATGGTGGGGATGGGGAGGTTATGTGGAATGGGGTCTTAACTTGTTGCCTTGGTCTGCAGATCCTAGAGTTTCCCTTCTTTTGTATTTTGTGCTTCGGAGATGGTAAGAACGTGTTCGTTTGCTGACCAAAAGAGAAGCGGAGTGCGAGTAGAAATGAGAACCGTGGATGCTTTTTGAGTAAAGGGTCGAAAATTGATTTGTTTAGCAATACATATGCATGTTAAGTTTGTGTGGTTGTGAATGTGCTGTCATTTGATTTGATTAATTATACTAATTTGACTTGTTGTTTGTAACTATTATTGCAGTTGCAGCAGGGGACGCTTCTTAATCATCGGGGAATGTCAATTTGCTCAACTTTATTTTGTACTGGAGAACTGTTTACGAGGTCATTTAACCTTAAAACTCGAAGCGCACCTAGTGCGCTCATGACTAAACATCTTAAGAATCAGGAAGCTGTTAATGGCTTTACAAGGTTTCATGGCGGTCCGTCTTTTGGCCTTTTACATGCTAGACCTGTACTTTCGAGCATTGCAGCAGACAGGTCATTCTTTAGCATTCGATTGAAATTCCCTGGTAATGAAGCTTTGGCTACCAGGTTTTACTCTCAAAGTTCTCGACCATTTAATCAAAATGATGATGCCTCTGTAAGGGATGGGATAAGAGGTGTCACTGGATTGGGTTTTAAGGGTTTCAAAAAAAATTGGAAGAAGGCAAAGCAGTTGGCTGATCAAAGTAAAAAGTCTGCTGCTTCTTTGCCCATTGTATCAGAATCTTCGAAAGAGGATATCTCCGTAGATGTCCAAGAAAAAATTGCTGATACAGCAAAAGAAGTAAACTTGAGTTCATCATCTATGACATCACTTGCTAGTGGAGCTAAACAGGATAAGAGCATTAGGAGACGAGAGCTTGCACGGAGCAAAAAGAGCAAAGAACAAAAGCGCGATCCTTTGAAGAAAGATTCTAAAAGTGCTGCTCGAGGAGAAGTGTCAGACCAGAAGAAAGGTGAATCCTTGTCTGCATCGAATTTGAAGGTTGGTGATTGCAAATCTGGAAATAGTTAGGAGTACTTTTTTTTTAATCATGCTATGATATCTTAACTGATGTTAGTTTTGCAAGCTAAGTCAGGCGGAAGTCATCCTGACTCGAAGGAACTCCTAGAGGCTCCTGCTTCTGCAAAAAAAAGTTTGGGCAAGAAAGTGCGAAATTCTAAACAAAAATCTGTGAAGACATCTGTTGAGCCAATGGGAGAAAAGAAAGATCAAGCAATCAACAAAGTGAGTTCGCCAAGTCAGAGGATTTTGAAGTCTTTTTATCCCCCTGAGGGGAGATCTGTTGTGGTTGTAGAATCTGTTACAAAAGCAAAGGTTATTCAAGGCTATCTTGGTGATATGTCTGAAGTTATTCCAAGCTATGGCCATGTAAGGGACTTGGCAGCACGATCAGGATTTGTTCGTCCTGATGATGACTTTAGTATGGTCTGGGAGGTGCCATCTGCTGCTTGGACCCATCTGAAGAGTATCAAGGTTGCCCTAAGCGGGTATTGATTTCTGTCCCACTTACTTCTTCATGAGAAATCTCAGTGAAAATACTAGTGTTTTGCTTAGGGGACTTTTCAGGAGCTCAGTAAACAGTTCATGAACTTGATTCAACCAGATTTTAGTCTACCAAAATAATAAAGTATCTATCTATGAATATGAAAACCATGCCAGTGTGAGTAGGTTATGTGTTAATGTTTATTATCCGCGACATCTGTCAATGTGTAAAAGGAAAATAATTTGGTGTTTAACTATGCTTCTGAATACTTTCTTCCTGTCTTGGTTCTCAGAGCAGATAATCTAATTCTAGCTTCAGATCCTGATCGTGAGGGCGAGGCTATTGCTTGGCACATCATTGAGATGTTGTAGCAGCAGGATACTTGAAATTATTCTTAATGAGTTAAAAGAGGTGGTGTAATACATGATATCATTGTTAGGCTAAGTTCAATGTCAAAAACTAAGAGCGAGTGGGTTAAAATATTCGGTGGAGAATGAAGAGATGTGTTCAAGTAGAAGAACTATGAATGGCATAATCATATGGTTTTAAATTTTTTTTTTTTTTTTTTTTTTTTTTTTTTTTTTTTTTTTTTTTTTTTTTTTTTTTTTTTTTTTTTTTTTTTTTTTTTTTTTTTTTTTTTTTTTTTTTTTTTTTTCCCCTTCCCCTTTTTCCTTTTTTTTTTCTTTCTCTCCCCCCCCCCCCCCCCACAATAAAACCATACAAACCATAAAACTACCAATCAAACACGCAATTTAACCACGATCGATCCTTAACATCACAGCCATATCCGAGCCTCCTAAACCACGCATAATCAGTCCTAAAACAGTCCACAACAACCCAAATATCCAGCCTCGATCTACGCTCCAAAACAGCCACCTAATCCACCTAAACCAAGCCCTAAACATGTCTAACAATACCCGAGGTCCTAGGTAACGTTTGGGGAGGTCACTTACCCTAGAAAAGCGGGGCAAACAAGCTGGACAAGGGGCTGGAACGGACGGGAAGGCGGCGCCGCGGCAAGCGAGGGGCCAGACCTTGGACGGGCGAAGGCAGCGGGCGGCGATCGGCCGCTGGGGGCGGCGGTGGGGACGTACAGGGCAGGGGAGGACGGCTAGGGGTGGCTCGGCGGTGGCTGAGCTGAACGGAACGGCGAAACAGAGAGAGAAAGACAGGCGGGCGGTGATGAGGCGTGACCGGGAGAGAGAAGCGGCGGCGCGGACGGCTGGGCTGGGCGGCGACCGATGGCGGTGAGCTGGTGGCCGGCCAAGGGGGTTCACACGCAAGGGAGAGGAGAGAGAGAGCGCTTCGGTGGGGGTGGGGTGAGGAGAGAGAAAGAGAAAGTGGAAAATGAGAGAGAAAGAGAGAGAAAATGATATTTATAATCTAACCCCAAATAATTGCACTCCGGAAATTACCAAAATACCCCCTATCTACCCTCCGATCTAATGGCCGAGATTTGATCTTATCCAAAATCCAACGGCCCACTTTCGTCCTTATCCAATAATTAAAAAGGCAAAATGGTAATTACTCAAAAAGGGAGAGGGGCATTCTTGTCCTCTTATTTTCGGCCAAACTGGGTAATTCTCAGTCCCCCGACTTAATCCAGTCCTTAAAATTCGTTCGCGGTCCCCAAGGGCAAAACGGTCATTTTTCCGGTCCCGGACTGAAATCCATTTTTTTGCAGAAATGGGTGGCCCCAAGGTTGGCCACACCAAAAACATCATCGGCCGCTCCAAATTGTCACTTTCAAAATTCTCGATTCCCGGGCCCGAATTTCAAGAAATGACTAGAATCGAACAATCGCTACTTTAGCTTATCTTTGGCTAACGGGTGGCTCTTTGGGATTACGCGCTCTCGACCCGTGACCGATACTAAGTCAAATCACGTTTAAGTTTGCTCGGACCAAAGCGACCTCGATTGTCATGTAATTGCGAGGGTTTGTCGCTAGTTCCCTTCGAACACGATCAATCAAATAGATCGGTCTCTGTTGGCTCAAAACATTCCCTCGTCAATCCTTATGGTCGAAGGCCGAACCAAGATCGAGTTCTTTGGTCGTGCGAACTCAATCCCATAATGGCCTTACCCCTAAGGTTAGCATCCCGAGAATGCACGGTTCCGAGTGAGATCTCACTATAAGTGCATTGGCCAAAATATTCATTTCATAAATCCCGAGAAAAGAATCGAAAATTCAGAATGTTACAAATGTGACACGAGTGTACCAGTTTTAAGTCTTTCATGGTATAAATTCAAAAAAAAATACTTATTCTCTTTTTCCTAATATAAAGTAGAAAAAATGAAAAATTTGGATGACTAATGGTCATTATATTCTTTAGAACGTAATGTCTTTAATGAGCCGGACTTTTTTATTGTGACTTTCTCTTCCCCTCCTCAAGACAAAGTATTATCTTCTCATACTCTTCACTCTCATAAGAATATGTAGAAGAGAGAGTTGTATAGGTGGTCCGGATTTGAGTCTGAATAGGATAACAAATTATTCTATCCAGTGTTTGGTGACGTTCTCTGGACCGGATAAATTCGGATAAAATGCCGGATATGAAATCCAACCTAGAAGTAGGATAAGATTGAATTGGATATAAAATTTAAAAATAACTAAAAATTCATATTTTATCCTTTAACAAAGTAATAAAGTGACATTTCGCATATTGCTTGCCAGGACCATCACCAAAATTACCAATCATCGTCACTTCTGACCACCGCATGATCGTTGTCACCTCCGACCATGCTGGTCATCACCGTTGGAAGGGGTCTAAAGATGATCGTTGTGCCGGGTTTGTATAAATCATCCTTTGTACCTTAGTTGCATACGTCCTTCACGTCACGAGCCGGCTGTTCACCTGCTGGTTGACGACGAACGGCTAGCACATCATCAACTTCTCTGTGACCACGCTCTTAAGCGTCGAGTTCCACCCATGACGCATGCCTTCTCCGATGTTGCCTCTCTTAGTAGCTTCCTTCGACAGTAGAGTCTGGCCGCATGACCCACTAGAAGTGCCTCTCATTCGTCACGAGGCCGTCCCAAAATTACATGAACTTGTGTCGGTTGAGAAATGACATGCTCTCAAGGTTGACTTCCCAGAGACGTGATTGAGAGGTTTGTGTCTCACGTATAGGAGGAGGAGAAGGAGCAAAGTCAGAGATGGGATTTTCAAAACTTTTTAAAGATTTTCAAATGAGAAATATTTTCAAAGATTTTCAATCTTATCTTCGGTTGCGGATTCTCGAAGATTTTCAAAGATTGTTTTCAAATATTCCAAATCCTATCTTAGATTGTATCAAACGTATGATAGGATATTTTTACAATCCGGAGATATAAGGATTTTAAATCGCCCTTTATCCTGTTCTATTTCAATCTGAATCTGGACAACCAAACGCAACCTTATATATTTCTGTGTATTATGATTAAGATACAAGACCTTATTAATAGGCTTTATAAGATAACTATTTATGGTAATAAAATGATATGATATCAATTAGGGTTAATATTATTAAAAATCCCAAACTAATATATCTGTAACAATTTTACCTCAAATTAAGTTTTTGACCACAAAAAACCCCAAACTAGTACACTAGTGACAAATTTATCCCAAATTAATTTTTTAATTAGCAAAAACCCCGAATTGATACATTAGTGACAAATTTAACCTCCGTTAGTTTCTATTAAATTGAATTAATACCACAAAAAATCATAAACTGGTACGTTGTGACAAACGGAGGGTAAAACATAAAATTGGTACATCCGTCAATTGTCGCATGTCATTTAATAAAGCAATTGGACAGTAAAATTTAGCGGAAATAAACTGAGAGTAAATTTATCACAGGTGTACCGGTTTGGGGTTTTTGGTGATTAAAAAATTAGTTTTAGGCAAAATTGTTACATGTGTACTAGTTTAGGATTTTTCGCAGTATTAATCTATCAATTATAATCAATGAATGATATACACAATCAAGAGAGATACATGAACATATGCACAATTTTAAAAGTTATAAAGAATCAAGTAAGATATGGAAAAGATTCTCGATATACGTAGATAAAAATCTCCTTGAAGAATTCAACTGTACTTTGAAGAAAAGATAAAAAAAAAAAAATTGCCTAAGTTGATTGCTGTAACGGCTTAGTGTGTTGAAGAGAAAAATTGCTAACTCGTGAAGCTATACGGCAACAAGCTAACGTGGCTTTTATGTGTTGCCGTGGCTTCATGCTAAGTGACAAGATGTAGTGGCTGCTGTGTAGCCATCTTAGACGGGTAGGTCGGGTTGGATCATAGATGATTTGATCTAAATTGATCCATTAACTCATTTATGACCAATTTTATTTGTAATGCAAATTTTTTTATCCATACCTGGCCTGACCTATATTACTGAAACACTTCTATATTTAACCAAATTTAGAAAGATTTATTCTTTTATGATTTTTCAAAAAAAATTTATATTGCTAAAACACTTTTATGCAATACAAATCTAGTGGACAATTTTTATACTTTTTTTTAAAAAATGAGGCTATGTTGTTTTGTAGAAAATGTGACATTTTCTGAAAAATGTTTTATAGGAAGTCATTTTTCGAGAAAATGATAATATTTTCCAATGCTTGGCTAAAATTTGAAAATGAATTAGAAAATATTTTTCACCATTTGGTATGGAAAATCTGATTTGATTTTCCTCCGTACACTCTTTTTAATAATTTTATTTTTATTTTTTAAATATAATTTTAAGTATTTTTCTTTTTCTTTTTTCTTTTCATTCTTTTTCTTTTTTTTTTCTTCTTCGGCTGGTCATCGACAACCATAGGTGAGATCGAGCCTCGCCAGCCTTAGGTAAGGTTGAGGTCAAGTCTCGCCAATGCCAGAAGTTGGCAAGCTCGAGCTTCGTTGGCCGTCGCCGTGGCCGACCACCGGCCAAGGAAGACGGAAGAAGAAAAAGAAAGAAAAAAATTAAATAATAAAAAAATTCAAAAAAAAATTCAAAAAAATTAAAATATAATAATCATAAAATTTTAAAAAATAAAAATGACATGTTTATCATCTATTTGAGCTTGTTAGGTAACTCATTCATGACCTATTTAAGACCCATTAAGTTGTAAGGTAGCTAATTTATGATCCATTTAAGTTTGTTTTTAAAATTTAAGGCAATCCATTTATATCCCACACCATTAAATATGGGGTTTTTTTTGTTGAATTTTAAATATGAGTTAAAATATGGGTTCTAGACTCATTTTGCCATCTCTACTGTCAGCCTACTTAACAACAACTTTGAAGATCAACTTGAGAGATGAATGTTAGTAGTAATTGAAAATGAGAATGAGATGGCATGCGAGGTATGTTTTGGGTATGCTTCGAGTAGGCATCGAGTGCAATGCGTACCCAGGAGAATCCTGAGAGGTACGGAGAATTAATAAAGATAGAATAACCTCCTAAATATATATCTCTAACATCCTTCAAATTTGAGTTGTCATTTGTGTATGAATTTTTCTACATTTCACCTTATGAATAATTCTTTCTTTAAAATTTTAAAATGAGAAAAAAAATTTGATCTTAAAAGATCATAAAAATTATAAGCCATGTTATACATTCATGTTCATGTAGAGCCAACCTAGCTTGGCTGGGTTCCATTTATGAGCACAGGACGCACTTTGCCCCTATGAAGTGATGCTTGTATGACGATGCTGTTTCGATCTCTTCTTTAAGTGTTGATACCGAATCCATCCTCAAGTACTCATTTTGGACTTATTGGGGTGCAGCGGCGAAACCCGAGTGGGGGAATTTACTCGACGCAGCCAGCACTAGTAAAAACACTAACGCCAATTCTCTCCATAGTCGTAAAAATAACACTTCCATATATTTTGCAATATTTCAAATAATCCCTGTAGCTACATACAGAAATTTTTTTGAAAAAATTAGTATAAAAGTTAAGATTTTTTTTTTCTGGTTAGCAGTAGGTTTTTTTTTTTTGGTCGTAGTTAGCAGTAGGCTGGGTTCAGGCTTTTCCCACCTGTCCCGCACGACAAAACCCCCAAAAAATGGCAAAATGAAGAAAAAAATCAAATTTTCCATTTTCTATTTTGTTCGCAACTTTCTCCTTCTTCCTCGGTCAACAACATGGCCGTCTCTGTCAAATCCCAGAAACAGTATACACACACACTCTCTCTCTCTCTTTCTCTCTCCATCTCTTTCTCTCTCCTCGTAATACGCGTGACTTGCGAACGAAGCTCCACATGGTCCTTCCTCCCTCGTCCTCCTCCTGCAATGAAAACCTCCTCATCATTATCTTCTCTGCATGAAGAATTTTCGGCACAACCCAACAACAATGGCGTCTCCTTGCTCGGATCCCACTTTCTTCTCTTCCTTTCCTTTTTCCCGCTGAACCCAGATTTTGAATGATCGTCAGATACGGCTGTAGACAGCAGGACGATATACGCTGCGCACCCACGGAGAGAACGAGAAGGTGTTCACTGTTGCCTTCACCGCCCGCTCCGGAATGGTCCGGAACGCGTTCTGAGAGGCGTTTGGCGCTCTCGCGTCTTCAGCAAAGAAGCATTCACGAGAACCCTTTGGTTTCTTGGGGTGTTTTTCTCTCTCTTCTTTTGAGTGCTTCTCTTTAAGGGTTTTTGGTGGCTGTGGAGTGTTTGGCGTGATACGACAGAAGTTATGGCTCAGGCGAAGTGGGAAGCTGAGAAAATGTGAGTGGCTCTTACGCATTCGTTCGGCTTTGTTGCTTTTCCTTTCTTTCTTGCTTGGACTTCGATTTTCTGGGTCCTGCGCCGTCGCTTGCTTGCATGCCATCCCATTCCTCTCGAGAGCTTCGCTTCTCAACCCACCCCTTGCGAAGGTTGTCGTGCTCCTTACTTCATCAGAGCTCTCGTGGCGTTGTTCGTTTTTCCATATCTTTTCGTGTTCTGATTTCTTGTTCGTGGGGTCGTCGGCAGTGATCGTTGTGTTAATGGGTGTTGTGAAATGATTTCGTTCGTTTGCAGATGTTGGGTCTCGAGTTTGTCCTTTCGTCGGGATTCGTCTTGTATCTTGTGAAGATTTGAATCATTTCGAAACGGTCATTTCTACTTCACTTGCTGACTCCCGTCATTTGGGAGTTGACAGGGTGATTTTGATCTTTGTTTGGCTTGCTTGGAGAGACACTATAATTTCTCTTGCCTTATGAAGCTCACTCGAAGGACCAAGTGCTGTTGCTTTCTTTTTGTGCCTTTCCAGTGATTTCCTTCTTGAACAAGTCAAACTGAATAAGAAGAACGAGAAAGATGCTATTGCTTCAATTGGTGGAAATTTTATTGGCGGATGTTTAGTTGTTTTGCTTTTTGCATGTTCTTAGAGAACAACTGTTGCTGTTGTTTGTTATTGAGTTGTGTTGTCATTCACACTACTATACCTGCCTCTGTTATCCATTGAAGAAGTCACAGAGCTCTTCCTGTTTCCGTGGCAGGTTAGACATCTATGTCTACGATTACTTTGTCAAAAGAAACTTACATGCTACCGCACGGAGCTTTCTAGCCGAGAGGAAAATCTCGACACACCCTGTTGGTGAGTTTTCTGTGCTTAAGGCCGGCCCCTTAAAATCAATTACAACAGGATCTCCTATTGGAAAGATTTATGGTTGGAAACTATTCTTAGCTTGAATATGCTAAATCCTATCATTAATTACACAGTTAACTTATGATACTCATAAATTATCTGTTGCAGCGGTAGATGTGGCTGGCGGTTTTCTGTTCGAGTGGTGGTCTGTCTTCTGGGATATATATATGGCAAGGATTCATGAGAAACGCTCCAACACTGCTACCTCCTATGCCGAGGTGCGTTTCCATTCCTCGTATAGCTTAATGAGTTCACAACTTTCGATATCTGTTTGCGTTATTCTAGGTTTTGTATAATTTAGAATACGCAGAAATTGATCCACCCCATATGCATTGTCTCCTGTTTAACTGCAAAGTAGATCCATTCTGGAATTTGCTTGTATAAAAACATGGGACTGGGTTTGCATGCATCCTTGACAGTTGTTGTAGTTCCTTATCCAAGATGTAAGCACCCGCATCTGGAACCATTCATTTATCTCCATGCTATTGGGCTCATAACATTTTTGTTTTACACCACTCCGCTGGAATGATTTGTTTAATAGCTTGCAACCAATATGTTTCTGTTCGAAAATTTAGAAAATGCGGAAAAACCTTTTCGAAGAACTTTGACTATTTTAAAATCATCATTAGTTTATGTAAATACATGGCCTATCATTAATGAAGTGTGATGGACTTGTGGGTAGTAGACGCGTTGCCTAGACTGAATTCCTCAGCAACCATCTGACCTGAAACTCCACCGGTGCCAATAGAAGCCTGCAAAGACAAGGACAGGTCTCACAGATCCTTCTAACATATCTCTTTGGCCTTCCTAAGATCCTCGGTCATATTGAGTTTGCTGGATTGACTGGACTGATCACTGTGTGGTTCTCGAACCTTTTTTCTTTTCCCAGCATTCCCTGTCTGAAACAGGGTAATGTTTGCCATCAAACTTTAATGTAGGTAATTGCAACATATATCATAGTCACATGATACATAACATGCAAATAATCATCTTGTGTGAGTTTTATGACAACTTACTTTTGCATGTGCAATGGGAAGATGAGTAGATGATATTTTAAAAGGCTAATTCCTGGGGTTAGAGTGGCAACCGCCTGCAAGTCCTTGCTAGAGGGCATTCTAGAACCCTTACTGCGGAGGTTCTCCGAGATAATCTTTTCTTTGGTAGGCTAATTTGGTAGGCTATTCACCTGATATACTTCGGAGTTTAAATGTGATATAACTGATACTATGGATGACGTGTCCCATCTGATTCATCTTTAACTACTGTTTAGGGACAGAATCAGCATCAAATTGGCTTCAACCAGTGGCCGAAATCTCAGATGCAGTCATATCATCCTGCCAGTCAACTGCAGTTGCAACAGCAATTGATGCCCCAAGCACAGCCAATGACATCCCCATCTGTTTATGATTTAGAAAGCAGAAAATTGAGGGCGCTTTTCCAAAAGCAGAGTCTAGGTTTTGGAATAGATGAGATGAATGATACGGGCGATCTACTTGCTAATGTTCGGCCTACAGCACGTATTGGCTATCCTGTACTTCCCTGTGGTGATGTGGATGTCCTATTGAAGGTGCTATTATCTTTCTGTACTAGCAATCAGCCCATTAAAGAAATCTTCGGTTTGTGCCTTTTTAGGAGGTTTATTTTTCCAAAGATACTTGCTTACAGTTGGTATTTTCTCTGTTAAACCAGCAAGCGGAGTATCCACAGAGCTCACTTTTGAACCATCAATATCAAAATTCTAGTAGTCCTTTCCCATACCCAAATAGAGTTTTATCTTCAGGAGGTACGAATGCTGATGGCAGCTTGCAAATGACTTTCAAGGAAAGTTTCCAGGTCAGCCAGTGATGTGGCAATAATCCCTTGTACTTTCAGACTTCTGAGGATTACAAGTATTTTCTTTTCAAAACAAATATATCCTAAGTACATATCTCCAAAACATGTATTGACTCTGGAATACTGTTTTGTGCACATGCTCCGACATTAAATTTTCAACTAAAGATTCAGCTTCATTGTGCGCGTGCATTTGGATGATAGCCATCATTAAAATTGACAATTATCACCATGACCTAAATCATAAATCTAAATTGACATATATTGCAATTTTTCTCATTATATTGTTTTGTTTCATTTTAAAATGAAGGCTTCACAAAAAGAAACTGTGCAAAAGAGAAAGCGGCCAGATTCAGCTTCATTCCCCGCAAAACATTTGAAGAATGTGGATGCTTTTGGACTTTTTTCTCATACTTCCTCAACACCTTCTATCATCACACTGGACGACAACATCTCTGTATCTTCTTTGCGACAAACTGATCATTCCTCTACGCCTTTTCCCCTAGTTGGTTCTGATGCTACAGATCCAGCATCCAACAGATTGGTAAGCACTGTGCAGGATTGTTTCTACCTTGCATTAGGAATTTATTGAATGGAAATGGATTTCACAAAATTTGTTCCATTTTGATATTGTGCATCTATAGAGCTGTTAGATATATGACATCTCATTGTCCAAATATTATCAAACAAGCTTACGTAATAGAATAAAAGTGTTTGACTCGTCGCTGTAGAAGAAGAGGAGTGTGGATAATTTCATTCCATTAAATGAGAAAGATGTAGACAATATTATTCGTTTGACAAAAGAAAATGTTTCATGCAAGTCATTGTGAATTGCACTTGTATGGAAAAGAATGATGTGAGGATATTGTGTAGGCTCAGACGAATGTGGTTTTGGATGATGCATCTTTGGCAGACAAAAACGAGTCTCTCTCATGCTATGAAGATTTAGTCACCAGGGACAAGGTTGTTAGCAATGGTATGACAGATTACTGATCCCCTTGGCTCTGTTTTTCCTCCTGACCGAAATCTCTTATACTAAATCTCTTATAAAATGACGAGCCGCCTGAGGATTAACGTCTATTTTGTTGGTTTAGGCCTCACTATTACTGAATTCCAGAGTCTTCCTACAAGTCCAAGTGATATTGAATTTTGTCACTTCTCATACGATGGGAAACTGCTTGCAACTGGTGGACATGATAAAAAGGTACGAAATTATTCAAGGGTTCTCTCTGAAATGGACAGGTCTATTGAGACAGTTTACTGAATTGCGCTGTCAAAATACAATTGTTTGTTGATTAAGGGATCTTTTAATTGGAACTTACCTTTTTGTTGACCGAACAAAGAATGTGTGACATGTTATATTCTGCAGGCAACATTCTGGTGCACCAAGTCGCTTAGATTGAAGTCAAAGCTTGAAGAACATTCCCAGTCGATTACAGATGCCCGCTTCAGTGCAAGAATGCCTCGGTTCGCTACTTCATCAGCTGATAAAACTGTCAGAGTTTGGGATGCTGATAATGTCAGTACGCATTTTCTGATTTTGTCTCCTTCTGATATTAGTTGCATGAAGGCATTCCTGACTTTTTAAGCATGTTAATGAACCATTACCCTACCAAACTACAGATGGCTTTTGATTTATGATGCTTATACCTGGGGAGCCTTAAGAAATCTGTTCAATTTCCTCTAATGGTGGTAGTGAGCTATATTATAATCACTGCTGTTGATTTTGATTTCTTGAAGGTTACCAATAGTACGTGTTATGCGGGAAATACATCAAAAAGGTTCTAGCATTTAAACGATAAATCATCCACCAATCCTTTTGAGAGCATGTTCTGTAGATGGAGAATCGTATGAGTGCTTCTTTAACAGGATATACCGTGTTATTGTATGGGACTTCACTGTTGATGACAAGATTGTAGAAATTCGTGGAATTTTTTATTCTTTTCATCACTTCAGATATTACCCCTGTGCAGAAGTAACATAGTCTTCTGAAGCACTTTTGGTCAGTGGATTGCATGCTCTGCTTGTGGAATGCATTTTCCTCTTTGTACTGGAACATTTGAGATGAGTGTACACATAAATCCATTTTACACACGTTGATGATGTTGAGAATGCCAATTTGCAGCCTGACTATTCCCTTCGAACTTTCACTGGACATTCTTTTTCTGTTACGTCCCTGGACTTCCATCCATGGAAAGATGATCTCATCTGCTCCTGCGATAATAACATTGAGATCCGGTATTGGAGCATCAAGAGTGGCCGCTGTGTGGGGGTTATCAAGGTTAAGTAGTGGTACTTTTATTTCTGAGAAAATTTGTACGAGGAAGCTTATGCATTCTCAGGCTGAGATTGTATAAAATCTCCCCATTATGTAGGGCGGTTCAAGCTGTATGAGATTCCAACCCCGCGTTGGAAGGTTTCTTGCAGCTGTTGCAAAGAATGTTGTTTCGATACTTGACGTGGAGACTCAAGTCTGTAGGATGAAATTGCAGGTCATTTCCATTTTTCTCAGTCTTCATATGTTGGTGTTAATATCTTGGCATAGTGAAGATGATGAGGAAAATGTGCTTCTACATGTTGGATGTTGATGTGTAGGGTTTTTCTGTTTGATAAAGATGGTATTCTTTGCTAATTAGTTTTCCATGGACGTGATGTCCATGCGGGTTTTACATGAGGAAATTTTACAATTGGCATCTAATAAGACAGTATTGTCCATGCAATTTCTTTTCCCCTGGCGAGTTGGCTTAAATTATTTTATAACCTTGTTTTATCAAAATTGCTATTTTTATCTGCATCCTTTCCCTTGACCCCAAGTAGCTTATACTCAACTAAAAGAGCAAGTTTAAGTTATTTCCGTATTCGCAACTCGTGAGATATTTCTTCATTTGATCGTTTTTGGACCTTCGAATGCACTGCATTATAAATAGATGTCAGTTGGTGTTTTCATTTTCCATGAACAAGCTGTCATCTGATTATGTATTGATGGTTTGAACTTCATGACTATTTACATCTTCCAGACAGATTCAACGTACCCCATCAACCCATAAGATACTTCGGTGAGGCACATGGACTGATCTTAGGGCAATGAGTAGAAGTTGAAATGATAAACTATGTTTATGTGGGTACGATTTTTTGGATTTTATATCACACATCCAAGAATGGACATGACATGTTGGGCCAATTTTTCCTTAACCAAAAAACTCATGACGATATTTTATGTCAGGATTCACCGAGGTGACCCTTTGATTAATAATCTTGTACAAATGGAAGCATGTTCATAGGAGAACTTAATGAGTGGCAATTTGGTTTATGCTTTGCAACGTTCCTTGTTTTCGGTTTGGGCCATACTGGACAATACTTGCTGAGGACTTTTACCAGTTAGAAGTTCAAGTAATTGACAGCCGGTGTGATGATGTTAATGCAGGGTCATGAAGGCACTGTCAATACTGTCTGCTGGGATTCTACCGGCGAGCATTTGGCATCTGTGAGTGATGATTTGGTTAAAGTGTGGAAAATTGGCTCTGGCGGCAATGCAGAATGTGTTCATGAGTTGATCTCTGCCGAGAACAAGTCCCATGCATGTGTCTTTCATCCCACTCATCCTTCTGCAGCAATCATCGCCTGTTCTGAGGCAAGTCATTGCTCTTTATTCTTTTCCACTTCATTAGTTTGATGTAACATCCATGTACATTTGGAATGTGGACTCTCCAATATGAGCAATGCGCGGTGTGCATGCCTACTTGGTAGGCCCTGCAAAATACTTCCTACAATTCAGCTTCTTTGTCTGGGTGGTGAAACCGTTGTTTTTTCTGATGTGGAGTCATTTGTTCTCAGAATCTGGAGCTCTGGGATATTGCTGAGAACAAGAAAGTGACCCTCCGTGCGCACAACGAACCGATATCTTGCCTGGCTGCATCTAGTGTCAACGGTCTTATTGCTTCTGCTAGTCGCGATAACTGCATCAAAATTTGGAAATGAGGTGATCGTTCCTCGTTTCCTTTTCTCTCTTGGGTTGGTGCAGGTCTTAACAGGTATATATACCAGTTTTTTCAACTATATTATGCCACTTTGGGGAAAGGATCTGTTTAATGGGTTTTGGCTTTACCCTTTGCTCTTGAAGAGCTTGCATATAGTACAGTTTTGCCTCTGTTGCAAAAGTCTAAAAGCTTGCATATAGTAGTACAGTGCAGAACGCAAAGAGTACTGTCGTGAAATACATGAACTTCAGTGAGAAACCTTCTGGTTTCTTGGTTAATCTTCGAAACACTACAATATGATAATACATATACCACACATTCTCATGCGTCATGTTTCTTTACTTGTGAAATGAGTTTTATCTCCTGGGGGATCGATGAGTTGTAGAGCGCGAGGTTGAGTGTAAGTGAGATTGGATGAATATGGACTCCCCTGAGCGTATTCACGTAGATGAAGATATTTCATGAAGTACGGTGACTTCATGTATTCATAGGTATGCGATGGTATATATATGTATGAATGAGTACTATCTCAGAAATGGGGTTCTACATATACGGAAAATTTACCTGCGTGCGCTTTGTTATTATTCTACCTTTTCCAAATCTTAAGTATGCCAAGTCAACTCAATGAGCTTAAGAAAAAATGCGTTGACTAAAGTTTAGGTCTAGAAAAAATGCGCAGACCCACAAAACACATTGAACATTTCGGCGTGACAAAGACCTAAAGATTGATATGTTGGTCGACAACATTTATAGCATGAACTAGTTTGTATATGCATGTCATGATATTGATAAAACCTTTGTCGATGCTGTTTTAAAAAGACGAAGTCAATTGACATAAGCTCATAATGCGATTTGTACGCTCGACTCCACGAGAAGACGTGACTCCACGAGAAGAAGATGTCGATGCATGGCGACAATAGAATAGAACCGAGTCTATTTAATATTTCCATGTCGACGATAGAGTAGAACGAGTCTATCTAATATTTTTTTACGGTATTCGCTTGCATGTTCTACAATGAATTGCACAGGGTAAACGTGTAGATTATGCTTGCGTGGAGTTTCATATATAATGGTGAAGTTTCTATACGTAAATGTCGGCATGGTAAGTTTAACTCATTTTAGAGGCAAAGCCAATCAGCAGACGATGTCTCTAAACTAAACTGCACAGATGACGCATTGAAAAATTTCGAATTACAAATAGAAAATCTGAATCTGATCTGATCGGACACGATATGTTTGATGGTATATTGACACGAATTAACATATTTTTGTTGTAAGTCAATTCTTTAACTTACCGGATCGAAATTACAATGTTTCATATTAACGTGAATTGGAGAAAGTATTCAGTGATTAGGTAGCACCACATTATAGGGTGACGTGGCATGCATTTTTATTTCAAATCCAATCAAAAATTGACACGTGTCCATGACGTGGTAAGTAACTAAAAAAAATTAAGAATCAACTTCTCCCTTTTCTCTCTGATCTTTCTCCCCTGTCCATGACCAACTCCTGCATCCAGTCACCGGCGCTTGCACTGCGTCAAAGCTGACCACTACTGCACGTCCATGGCTGAGCCACTCCCTTCGTCATCGCTCGGGGCCATGCTCGTCCATCGTCGCTCGAGTTCCCTCCCTTGAGTGCAAAAGTTTCTGCAAAAGTGCCAACATCTTTCTCCAGTCGCAGCAGTATAGTGTGGGAACATCTTTCTTGTTTTTTTTTTTTTTTTCGCATGTTCTGGTGCAGCAAATGGACGAGCTGCAACGAAACGGGTGGCTTGGCCATGGACGGCAACGACCGCAACCCACCGCAACGACGAAGGGGTGTTTCGGCCATGGACGCGCAGCAGTGGTCAACTTGGACACAGTGCCGGCGACTCCACCGGTGTGGAGAAGGTGGCCGTGGATGGGAGGAAGGAGGATGAAGAAGAGAAGGAAAAAAGAATGGTGAATTTTATTTTTTTAATCTTGTCACGTCATGAACACATGTCAATTGTTTTTTTTTTGGTTAAAACACATGTCAATTGTTGATTAGACTTCACTACAAGAATGCATGCCATGTCAACTTATGACGCGGTGCTATCTAACCACCGAATACTTTCTCCCACGAGTTGATATGAATATGAATGTGATTATAATACGCTCAACGAATTGTCGGACCACTTAACATGATGTTATCCTTTGCAAGGACGTACCTGGGTGACCAATTCACTGAGGATACAAACTGCAGTGATACCCAAACTAATTCTTTTCCACTAAAATTTAAAAATAAAGTTCATATAATGTAATTAGCTCCATGATGGCTGAGAACATATTATTTTTAACCGAACAAAAGTCTTTGCTTTCAAAAGTTTGGTTAATTAGCACCATACGTCATTAACAACGTTGCGAAAGAGTTGATTAATAGTACGCATTTGCATATGTGATAGTCTTTGCTTTCATGGGTTAGTTAATTAGCACCATGCGTTGCTATTACGTGTGTTTTATCAAGTTGTAGCCGCCAGCCCAATTGATGATGATCCATGGCCGATCAAAGTACTAATCTGACTTCAGATCAAAGGTGAATGGATTATATTATATAATCGGGATATGCTCACTGGAAATCCTGAAACTTGTCATGAAAATGCAATTGAGTCCTAAAACTTGTAAAAAGTGTAATCAAGTCTTAAAACTTGTCAAATTGATTCAATCGAGTCCCAAATTTAACACCGTCTAACTTACTAACGGAAAATGTTAACGTGGCGTTGATGTGGCTTTTTTTTTTTCTCTTTTCTATGTGGCGATGATGGGGCTAAATTATGAAACATAAGACTAAAACGATGTCATTTTGGCCCAAATTTAAAATTTAATACTAATTTTATTTAAATTAAATTTAAAAATAAGCTAAAAAAAGGAGGAGGAGGAGAAGTCAAGTGGGGAGGGCTGCAAGCCCTTGCCGTCGCCGCCCCATCATTGCTAGGAGGGGCCGGTGAAGGTGGGGGGTGGCTAGCGGGGGTCGTCAGGCCTCGGCCAGGGGCCGGCAACCCTCGCTTGGTCTGGGAGAGGGCCACAACCCCTTGTCTGTCATTGACGACGGCAACAGGGAGGTTTTTTTTTTAAAGCTTTTTCTGAAATTTTAATTTAAATAAAATTTGTATTAAAATAATAATAAAAAGTCATGTCATTGCCACGTAAAATAGAAAAAAAAAGGGCCACGTCCGTGCTTTCCGTTAGTAAGTTAGACGGTATTAACTTCAGGACTTGATTGAACCAATTTGATAAGTTTTAGGATTTGATTGTACCTTTTATAAGTTTTAGGACTCAAATACACTTTTGGGACAAGTTTTAGGACTTCCAGTGAATACATCTATGTTTATAATGTTGCGGATGCTCCTAAGCTTTTGTAATTCATTTGGTTAATGACATTTACATATTTATATAAATAAATGTGCACCGAAGTCTTAAGGACTATGTAGGATTCGAATTACTAAGACAATGCACGGGGCAAATAATTGGGTACAAACAATGGAAACTGAGAAGAACTTGCGTTGATTCGTGGATGCCATGCTTGCTCGAAGACTGAATTTGAACACAAACTTCACCATGGAAATTAACGAAGTGCGAAAAGCAAGTAAAATGCTTACAAAAAACGGCTGGAAAGTTTTTACTATTGAAGACGAGTATCAAAAGTATGAAACTTAGGCTTTATTTGTTTCGTGAAAAATGTGACATTTTTTAAAAATATTTTTCAGAAAATTATTTTCTAGAAAAATAATAATATTTTTTGCCGTTTGGTATAGAAAATTACCAAAAATTTTGAATTTATTTTTTTTACTTTTATATTTCTTTCCTTTCTTTTTTCTTCTTCCTCGGTCGGTTATCGGCCACGGAAATCGGCCACGGAAATCGGCCACAGGGGAGGGATGAGCTCGCCCAAGGTCGGCGAGGCTCCACCTTGCCAGAGTCCGGCGAACTCGAGCCTCGCCGGCCTTGTGCAAGGCTCCACCTCGCTAGATTTGGTGAGGCTCGAGCTCACCAGCCTTGGGCAAGCTTGTCCCTCGCTTGTGGCAGATCCCCAGCTGAGGAAGAAGGAAAAAGAAAAATAAAGAAAAGAAAAGAAATAAAAAATTGATTAAATTTTTTTTTTTAAGAATGAACATTTCATTAACTAAGGACTCGAGCCTGAGTGCAGAGAAGTCAAGCATGGCCTTCGTGGACCAAGGCCCGAGTGTCGGAGACCAGAGCTTGAGCATCGAGGACTTGAGCACTGCGATTATGCACCCAAGCTCAAGTGTCGGGGCAATGGGCACGTGTACCAAGGCTCTGGGCTCGACCTCGATGGACCTGGGAGTAGGCATTGGCGCCCGGGCCTAGCCTCAATAGACCCGGGTCTGGGCGCTGAAGACCTAGTCCTGAATATCGGGAACTCGAGAACTAATATATGGTTTTCCATGCCCAAGTGTAGAATTTTGGGTCCAAATGCCAATACCTAGCCATATTTAGAAAAATATTTTTCGAATTTTTCAAAGAAGAAATCATTTTCTTGAGATTTAAGCATAGATTTTTGGGAAACTTCAAAATGAGGGCCTGAAATACCATCATTTTCACAAATAAGGGCTTAAAGTAGACATTGTTTCAAATAAGGACATGAAGTGGCCAAATCGTCTCAAATAAAGGTATGAAGTGGCCAAATCGTCTTAAATAAGGATTTTTGGCTAGCCGGTGACTATTCCGTCATTAAAGAATGGGTATTTTAGTAAAAAAAAATTGACTTTCTTTTTCTTTTCTTTTTTATTTTTCCTTTTTTCTTCTTCCCTCCCCAGCTATCACTGTGCCTGGCCGGCAACCTTCGCTGGCCTCAGGCAAGGGCCGCTCTCGCTAGCGTCGGGCGAGGGCCGCCCTCGCCGGCATTAGGTGAGGGCCGCCCAACCCACGTCAGGCTAGGGTGACCCTCGCCGGCATCAGGTGAGGGCCGCCCAACCCACGTCAGGCTAGGGTGACCCTCGCCTGCATCAAGTGAGGGCCGCCCAGCCCGCGTCGAGCGAGGGTCATTCTCGCCGGCGTCAGGCGAGGGTTGCCTTGCCTGGGTTGGACGGGCGAGGGCAACTCTCGCCCTTGCCGGGGTCAGGCGAGGTCGCCTCACCTGGGTTAGGCGGGGAGAGGGCGACACTCGCACAGCCTCCGCCTGAGGCTGGCGACCTCTGTTGTCCCTGGCGATGGCCGGCGAAGGGAAGAAAGGAAAAAAAAAAAAAAGGAAAAGGAAAAGAAAAAGAAAAGAAAAAGACAGAAAAAGGAAAAAAGAAGAAGTAAAAGACGAAAATACCCTTTGACCGGTGAGGTCGAGCCCTT